AGAGAGAGAGAAAAGGAAAGGTAACTATGTGAGTTGATGGAGTTGATAATTAGCTTGATTATGATAATTATTTCACAATGTAGATGTACATTGAGCCATCAGTTTGAACAACTTAAGTATATACAATTTTTATTTGTCAAGTACACCATAATAAAGCTTGGAAAAAATAAAATATATGCTTATTTTGAAAGTGAATAAGAGGACTACGAATGGCTGAAATCTATGGCCCTTTTATATGGCTACGGAACAAAAAGTGAACAGAGCAATAAATGCTTTAGAATGTCTTAAATTTTTCTTAATTATATGTTAGAAAAGTAAAGCAAAACATTGACCAATTGTTCCTATTACCTCTTTGGTTCTCATAGAACATATCGAGAGAAATTTAGAATTTAAAAAACTTAGTTGGCTAACTAGTAAACCAATAGGTCAGAAATATGGGAATAAAAACAGTTGTTCTTTCTGGAAATGAGGTGGGTGGGTGGTTCTTAACAATGTTGTTGTTACTCATTGGTTGGCACAATCAGTTGTTGGAGACAATGTTAAAAGTTCACACCAAAGCTTGTAAAACCTCTGTCAAAAGTTTTTTTTCGAAAACCTGTTCAATTTTTTTGTTTCTATAAAAGATTAGCGGGAAGCCCATTCCAAATGATGTTAAGAAAATGATGTCACTACAGGCTTTTAATTTCTGCCTTGAGGGAAACAGTGAAAAGAGCCTATACATTATTCTCTTTATAACTTTTGTGACAACCCTGTTCATGTGCCAGCTGAGGACACCCCCTCTGCTGTTCATTCTCATAGTTAAGTGGGTCACACAAGTTCAAGGATCCACGATGCATCTGACATCATCAGGCAAAGAGAAGAAACTGTGGTTAACACTTACTTTGGAATCTTGGATTTACAGTATTATTGCCTTCAAAAGAGCTTCCAGAGAGGGAAGCTAGACCTAATTTTGGTAAATCTGATATTGATTCCATTTGATAGAATGAAACATTTACCAAATAATACTGTAACACTTTCAAAATCAATGAAATGGTTTACTCATTTTTAAAACGTTAATATAGTTTGGCTACAGTCCTCAATCAGGGCTACATATATGCCATTTTACATATATGCTTTTATTTCAAGAAATAGTTAATTATATTTTAAAATAACTATTTTTAGTGTTACAAATCATCATGTGCCTCAAATTATGTGGGTTCCCACTGAGATTAATTTGACTAAGTCATTTGATTTTCCTTTTTCTTATTTTATAAAAGTGATTAGAAAGATGTGCTATCTTTATTTCCCAGGAAAGCATTTAGGAAGGTCTAAACAATACATCAAAGAGGATGATCATCTTCTACTATAGCTTACTGTACATACTTTTCTTCTGAGTGTGTTAATGAAAGAACTATAGAAATAAAAGTTATTGAGTGAATGAATAATTGCAGACACTCGGTATTCCTTCTAAACACATTAGTTTTCCTATTGACCAACTTTCATGCTTAAGGAAATTAACTCTTTCTGCTCACCCAAATCTGTAAAATAAATTTTCAAATAATATAAAACAATTGAGAATTTTAAACTTAGGAGAAATAGTTAAAAATCATTTAAAAAATCAATTCACCACTACTCTCCAGAGGTCTCTCATTCTCTGTAGTAAAACAAACAAACAAACAAACGAGCAGGCACTAAGAACAATTGAGAAATGCAGTAAAAATCAGTACAGTACAAAGTACAACCCTTGAGTATACACACTGTATAAACCCCTTGTTTGGGTAGAGTTAACATGATGGGATATCTCCACAGGAGAATCATCATGGGAATATTTGTATTCATTTTCTATTGCTGCATAATAACTTACCACAAACTTAGTGGCTTACAGAAACTCATTCATTATCTCACAGTTTTGCATGTCAGAAGTCCAGGCACAGCTCAGCTAGGCTCGCTACTGAGGGTCTCATAAGGCTGAAATTTAGGTGTCAGCTGGGGCTATGGTATCATCTGAAGTTTGGAGTACTCTTCTGGGCTAGTTCAGGTTGTTGGAAGAATTCAGTTTCTTGTGGTTATACATCTGAGGTCCCAGTTATTCTTGCTGGCTGACAGCTGGAAGGTAGCTCTCATCTCCTAGAGGCCACCTGTAGGTCTTAACCAATGTGGCCTTCTTATAACGCTGTAGCTTACTTCTTTAAGGCCCGCTGGAGAATCTCTCAGACTTCTTATGAGAGCTCACCTTATTAGGTCAGGCCCATTCAGCAGTCTCCCTGTTGATACTCAAAGTCAGCTGATTAGGAACCTTAACTGCCATCTACAAAAATCCTTCGACTTTGCCATATAACATAATCTAATAATAGCCATATCAACATGGGAATATCATTTGAGCATACTTGGTTTCTGGTGAATAACTGCTTTAAATAGCACACTGTGAACATGACCCTATAAACAAATACTGTAATAGGATTTTATAATTATCTATATAAACTTTAAATTTTATATCACTTTATAAGTTACAAAGTACTTGTAAATATTCTGCATCATTTGATTTTCATGACTACCTATCAGAGCGGCACAGTAGGTATTAGTCCAATGTTACAGGTGAAAAAAAACAAGGCTCAAAGCAGCTAAGAGATTGCCCAAAGCTTTACAGCAAAGTAGTAATAATGTTGGGCTTCAGCCCAGGGTCTTTTCATCCTTACAGTCTAATCCTGTTTTTTGCTAATCCTGTGGTTTTCAAACTGTTTCAGGGATTACTGCGAGAAGTGAGGTGACACTAAGAAGGTAGGGCTAAGCGTTGAAATAGCAGCTCTACTTTTGTTTATTCCATATGTTGGGGGTTCTATGTAAGCTTTAATAACCATGGCACTGCACCATGCTGCCTTGTTAAAAGTAAAGAAAAATATTTACTAAAAAATTTAGTTTAAAAAATGGTTTAGATATAGATAAAAAGCCAAGAGCCTATTCTACTAAAGTTTTAAGAAGCTGTCATTTCTTCCAGCAGCTGGTAGACCTTTTATAAAGAAAGAAAGAAAGAAAAAAAAAAACCACATTAAATAGTTGGTTTGAAATGTACATGTAGGAGAAAAAGAGAAACCCCAACTCCTTCACTTTTTAAATACGTGTAAAAAAATTAATACCTTCTTAATGTCTGGTCTCTTATTTTTCTTTTCATGCAGGCATTGACTGGCAATAGAGTACAGAGTTTCAATGGAAGCGAAATCAATGTCATTCATCTTCTCATCAATGTAATCTTCAATTGTCTTTTCTTCATCTTCAATTTCTTCTTTAATATCTAGCTTTAAAACAAATGTTAAAGCTTTAAGAGTTTCAAATAAAAGTGAAAGAAATCAGAACATACATTTTAATTATTTAATCTACTTCGTAATAACATGTACTCCAATTTTATTGTCTACTTTTATAGTGAACATTTTTGTTTGTTTGGTTGGTTCGCTGGTTTTTTTTTAGGTGAGGCAACCACTTGGTTGACCTCACAGATTGCAAGCACCTTGCCAGCTTACAATCGCTTATTTTTTTATTTTTTTACACCTACAGCACCTGGTCTTCCTAGGTGGTCTCCCATCCAAGTACTAATCAGGTCCAACCCTGCTTAACTTCCAAATCAGATGGGATCAGTCTTGTTCAGGGTGGCATGGCTGTCTGTCTACTTTTAAAAACTTAAGAATTGAAGACATATAGGAGAAACCCTATTCATTCATTCATTCATTCATTCATTCATATATACCTCCTAGATACTTTCAGACATTTGCCTTCTAATTTTTGTATCTACATGACTGAGCTAGTTGCTCTCATATTCCCACTAGCGGCATTTACTAGACTGCCAGCACAAGGTGCTCTGCTTCTTGATATGCTTCTGATAATGCAATTCCAACTTCTGAAACCAGGCTTCCCCTCCTTATGATACTCAAATTGTTGAATCAAAGAGAAAGAGGAAGGAGGAAAAAGGGGGCAGGGCCATGATGAAAAAGAATGACTAGGGAGAGGCATAGGACTAGGATGGTATAGTGAGTTGAGCAGCAGCCTCAAAAATATATGCTCAATTTTTAATATAAAAAAATATATATATAT